TTACATTCTCTGTGGTGGTGGCTATCATCCCAATAATTGCTCCATATGATGACAATAGTGTTCCGAAAGGAAAGAAACCCTTTAAACACGGATATCACAACCTCATTCAACGCTCATTTTCGATTTTCCCACCAGTAGTTCCTCTCCCTGACGGGTACAAGAATATCGGTGAAGAAGCGGAGAGAAATCACATAAACAGTCAGACACGATGCAAAGCAAGTTTCATTTTCGATTTGTGTTCTTGTCTAGAGATATGCGTTGATGACAGGCTTGTCTAAGTTTTCGTCCCTTTTTACATTCTCTTGTTTTTGTTTTTTTCGTGCGTAGTTGCTCTCTCTGACACATACCGGAAGGTCGTTGAAAAGATGGAAGGAAATTACATAAAGCTGGAGGAACGGCGGGAAACAACTTTCGTTTTCGATTTTGCTTTTTCTTCTACGCCGGGCACTGATGAAAGTGAACTCTTGGTTTTTTTTGTTTTTGTTACATTGTGTCTGACTATTTTTGTTCTTATCCCAGTAGTTGCTGTCTTTGACAAGTACACAAAGGCCGTTGAAGAGATAGACAGAAGTCGCATGAAGGAGAAGACATTAAAGTAAAAGAATATTACTTGCTGATTGCATTTTGTGGTGGAAACGAAATCTCAACGACAATTTTTGATAGATTTAGCGTCGTTGTGACATTTTTTGTCATTTTCGTTGTTATTCCAGCGATGACATATTGCTAAAGTATTTGGTTTGTACCGTGCAGGCGGACAGGAGTCGTGTGCCATTGATGAGACGAGTAACGGCGACTGTTCAGTAGCCGTTCTAGCGAAAGGTCGCCGGTTGAACGGTCGGTCACCATTGATACCATCTGTGTCGTACATCAGTAGAATGCAGTTGCGTTTTCATCGGAGTTCTTTGAAGAATTCCAGAAAATGAAAATCATAACATAAGTTTGATTATTTTGATATCACTTGCATTACACTTCAGTCGCCAATTTAGTGAAATGAAATTGGTAACATTACTTTCAGAATTTTGATAGAAATGGTTGGTTCCGGATCTGCTATCGGGCAACGCATAGGGGAAAATGCTGCAAACATACTGGACGAATCAATGACCAAGTGGGGCACGAACCTGTGGAACATTAGTCAGAACTTTCAGCAACACCCATTAACTCTTTTTGTCGCAATGCTGCTCTCACTTCTGTTGCTCTTGGTCAATCTGAAACTGCTTCTCCTTGTTCTTCGTGACCCCATTGGCCAACCGCTCTTCATCGCTCTCGTTGTTATATCGTTGTTATTTGTGGTTTATCTGTGGAACAAGCGACCGACCGGTAAGCTTACAGTAATATTCACCTATCAATCAAAAACATATCTCCTCAACTTATGCATTTGCGACAGGCTAAAGAATTCTGATCGATTATGAAAGTCAGAAATTGATTTTCATTGTCATAGCACATGACCACAGGTTTCGATTCATCGACTATCTGGGTGTAGCAAGTTTTGCAACATTTTGAACAAACTTCTGTCTGCTATCCTTTTATCGCAGGTATATCTCGCAGGACAGATTGAAATGCAATTCCATTTTGTCCAAGTTCGGATTGAAATTTTGATCTGAATTAAGTCAGATAGAATTACATACACAATGAGTTTAGATATTCAAACTATTTCACATCTTTCTCGAAAACGAGGTTATTGTTATCACAACGAATGAGACTCAAAGGTCAAGGATTACCTTCTGTAAAGCATTAATGGGAAGCTTCTGGAAAACATACCAGCGAATTTTAATTGTTTTACTTCTTTGAAGCTTCATTGAAAAAATGCACTGGCTATGGTCGCCGTTTTTTTACCCTGGTTCGGATGAATCTGGTCAGAAAAAAGTGACCAATGTTCGTCTGTGTCGTAAATGCATAAGTTGAGGAGATATATCAAACAGTCTATATCGCTGACTATAGAAATCACCGTATTGTGAAATGGAAGAGTGGTGCAAAGAGTGGTCAAGTAGTGGCCGGTGGAAAAGGGGACGGAGATGGAATGGATCAGTTGAATTATTTAACACATATGATTGTCGAGAAAAAGACAGGCAGTCTCATAATTTGCGACCGAGCTAATCGACGAGTGCTACGATCGTCGCATCGAAATCGCACAACCAGTCGAGAAACGATCATCGAGAATATCGGTTGTTACGGATTGACGATGGATGATCAGAGATTTCGCTATGTCTCTGACACTGAAAAGCATGAAGTGAGACGATATCGCTTCGGAGAGAAGAATGGAACAGTGGTGGCGGGTGGCAATGGAAAAGGTAACCGTCTTAATCAACTTAATTTCCCTGTTTACGTCTATGTCGATCAAGATCAGTCGGTGTACGTATCGGACACCAACAATCAACGTGTAATGAAGTGGGTGAAGGGTGCGAAACAAGGAATTGTCGTAGCTGGTGGCCAAGGCGAAGGGAATAATCTGACCCAATTATCTTACCCTCAAGGGGTGTTCGTCGATCAGTCGAGTACAGTCTATGTAGCGGATGGGAGAAACCATCGAGTGATGCGTTGGTGCAAAGAAGTGACACAGGGCGATGTCATTGTAGGTGGAAACGGCGTAGGAGCAGAACCAATGCAGTTGAATTGTCCGCGAAGTTTATCATTTGATCGATATGGCATTATCTATGTCGTCGATTATCAGAATCATCGAGTCCAGCGATTCTCAATCGAAGTGACCAATTGATTGTAAGCAACCGCTGTTGATGGATGTCGCTTTGTTTATGTGTCTTTCGACTTTTGAAATAAAGAATTCGATGACCATATACGAACAGGGACAACTCCACACGGACAATGTTGTGTGAATTCAAGAAGGTTAGGCTGCTATCACCTTTAGCAGGTAGGATCTCTCTGGTTGAGAGTACAATGTTCTACCAAGATGACCGCAACAGAATGGTCGCTGAAAGAGAGAAGAGCAAGTCACAGACACGGAAGATGAAGTACTTACTCAATTGCTGTTGGTAGCTTGCTTGATACGCTGGATCATCGAATGATCGCTGTCATCTCACTATACTGATAGAATTCATTGTTTGTTCAAGCACTCTCTCATTCATTTTTCTCTTACATAATTCGTTCATTCGTTGAGACACGTCATCCAGCGAGAGAGCGAAAAAAAATGTCGATCAGTAAGTCACTCTTTCTTGCCGTCACACGCGGTCCTTTGATGACCACTTTTTCCTTTCAATGTGTTGATGCATACATTGTTAAAGACGAACACTACTTCCACGCGAGATTAGATTCACACGCATTTAAAAGAGAGTGAGAGCAATCTTTTCTTACAATCGCTCAAGACTGAACACTTTCATCGGTCTAGTGGACTCTACACTGTAATTTGGAATTATTTTCTACTTTATAGAAAATCACCAAGGACTTTTTAACTTTTATAAAATCCTCAGCGATTTTCTGACTGTTTAGAAAATGTTGAGTTTCTACTTAATAGAAAATCCGCTCGATTTTCTATGAATTGACTTTCTCATTTGCCAGAAAATCGATAAGGAGTTTCTAAAAAGTTCGAAAATCGACAGCGATTTTCTAAATCTAAGAAGACGAATCGTTGATTTTTTTCTTGCTTCTTTCACATCTATTAAAGCCTACATTGTAACAAGTTGTCCTGTAACAGATCTCTACTTTTAGTATTTAACATCGAAACTGTTAGTAGATTCGCAAAGTTCTCACACTTTTTGCAAATCAGCATATTCGTCGAGAAGTACTGTTGTTGTATAACACTTGGAGATCACGAAGAGGTACTGGCTCTTGGGTGCCTGGTTGAGACAAAGTAGAGTTCCACCGCAACTTTCTAAAGATCACGAAGCGATTTGCTCTTGCTAATATTCCTCATTTTTATGTTTGAATTTAGCATCTTCCAAAAAGGTAGTTGGTTCTATTAACTCAAAGACATGATGCTAACAATTCACATTTCTTTTCTTTTCAGTCGTTTCACAACAGTCGTTCACCACGTGAGCGATGTCGAATTTGGTTTTCATTATTAAATGATCCATATTGTCATCCAATAAGCTGAAATAATATACCCCATTCAACTTTGAAGTTCAATAACTTTTAATAACGGTGAAAAAGTTTATCTTCATCACTTTACAAGTCTCTGATTATCATCATTCTCACTCAAATTGTTCTTCTTCATCATCTAGGAAATCGCTGAGGATTTTCTAGAAAGTAGAAAATAATCCGACTTCTTAGGCATGCACCAAACCCGAACTCCGGTTCAGAGTTCGGGATCGAATTGTTCAGCTTCGGCTCAACTTTTGGTTTTATTCTAAGGTTCGGGTTCGAGTTCGGGTGGTATCCAACAGATACTGGCAGTGTGGAGTATCTAGGTAGTTGTCTTGTAGCTTTTTGAGCTGTGTAAGAGATTTTAGAACCATCCTAAGGTTCGGCTAAGTTCGTGTTCGGGTTCGGATATTTTGAAACATCTTTAAAATTTTTCTATGAAGCCTATTGCTGTTTTCTGAATTGTTGTTCCGGAATTGAAATGGATTTCAATAATGGTAATTTGAAGAGCAAACATCTGTGATTGAAGATCGACATTCTTCAACTTTAAGCGATAATTTGATCAAAAGTTATGATTATTTTACTAAGAGTCCTAAAATCTGTGCCATACGTTCGAATAATAATTTAATCAAATAACTGAATCGTATCTCTAGGAGGACGGTTCACAAATCAACAGCAGTGTCACATATCCCTGAAGTTGGAGATGCAGTGGCATCTCCCACAATAAATGTCGCATATCCTCCGGGAGATGCCATATCTAGTGCATTCGATTATATTCGCTTACAATGTCAACCTTACCATCAAGTTGTGTAACTTATAAGGACTGACTAAGAGAGAAAGAAAGAAAGAAAACTTGATCAACATGTCTTATCGCACACACGGTAAAGACAACAGCCAGCAGACGAAGGTAGGTGTCGAGTCAGCGTTTTCTTATTCTTCCAAATATTTCGCGAAATTTATTCGTTCAGTGGAGATCAGATGTCAAAACAGCGATTTGCACTTCGTCGGTCGAAAAGAACTGAAGGCTTTCATTCAACAGAATTCTCTAAATGTGATTGACTTTGAGTTGAATTTTTTCAACGAAAAAAGGCTTTGTCCAATGACTGATTTAAGGAATTTTATACTTTGAATGCCACAAGAAATAAATGTATCGAAATGCTTTACAACGTGTTTATTGAATGTGGATGTGAAGGTTTTTTTATTTTATTTCAATTTACAGAATGCCACAAAGCAGTAATTTTATCATAACCAATCGAGTCTACATTTTATAATGAGTTTAACTTTACCGATAGGTAATCAAACGAAATTCAGAAGCAATTACCTTAATTTAAAAGACAAAGTCCATACAGAGTTGCGTATAGGTGCGCTTATAATTGTCATATCAGCCCATACAGATTTTGTCAAATGGCTAGTGAAGAAAGAAAAAGTCTTGATGCTGAAATACAAAAACCACATTTATCAATAGCACCAGTTACAGCTGATCAACAAACAGAAACTAATCAGTTTAAGTGTGTGAAGTGTAAAGAAAGAAGATGCGTGTACTATCAAATGCAAACACGCAGCATGGATGAACCAATGACTATTTTCGTGACATGTATCAACTGTGGAAATCGATGGAAGCACTGCTAAAAAGTGAAATTTAAATAAAAAAGTTACACTGTCGTACATTCGAAAAAGAACACCTTTATTCTGTTTTTGGGAACGCGCGAGTTCAGTTCTACCAAAGAACTGTCGGTACAGTTCAGTTCCTTTGAAGAGAACTGTTGATACGGTTCAGTTCTTGAGAACTGGAACTTTCCAACAGTTCGTGTGATCAGAACTAATATGGAACTGTTACATGGTCTAGTATCGAATGTGTTATTTTAATCGCTTTCATGCATCACCGTCAGCCATATCACTGTTGATTTAACCGGAGTTGAAACGTTGTCAGACTCACCCCCACCCTTACACCGTCATTTATGTGTGTAATTCATGAACGCTAACAGCAATCCCCAGTGCTCTACAAAACTAAAGGAAATATAAAGGCTTTGTATCGTCTGTTCATTTATGTTCGTACCTCGCAAGTCATCTGATAGTGACTTCCTATACACATCACTACTTCAAGTCAAAATTCATCTTCTGTCAGCGTTCATAAAACTGACATCTCTTCCCCAACTCTTTTGAAAACAGTCGCTAGAATGTTTCTCCCAGTTCTTTTCGAAACTGACTCGAAGAAAAAGAAAGAAGTCAGTTCTTTTATGACGATGGAATATCAATGTTGATGATTCACCAATAACATTCAACTAGGCCATACGGAGTTGCATTTGTGTGAAAACTGAGCAAATATTAGTAACCTGAAATTTTCACAGTTACAAGTTCTCAATAACTTCTAACTTAAAAGGTTACTTTACTGAGTTCATTAACTGTATACAAATGAATACCCGTATAAATTCAACTCCCTCACTGAAACATTTTCTTTATTCAAGATGAAAGATTCATGAAAACGGCTGATGAAGGCAATGTGCAGACGTCTTGTAGATCTTTTCATGATTTTTGGGTGATTTTTCTTCAGTTCTAGATTTGTGGGAGGTAGGTTTTTAATTTACGAAATTTCGGCTATTCTTGATAGTGGTAGTGAGACAACTGCCAGTCTCCTTTATTTCTTTAGTAGTACTATCTACCCCAATACGCAGAATCATTCCAGTGAAAAATAAAATTTTCAAAAAAAAGTTGAAGCCAAATTGTACAAATGGCTTGCAATCGTCTCATACGTGTTTTCCAATCAACGTTAGGTATGCACCAGTACCAGTTAATTGGGTACGAGGTACCTAAACGGTTTAATGATCAAACAATATTATAAACTGCTATTTTTTCCATGAGGGAAGCATATCTGAAGATCGAGTCTGGCACATTATAGGTAGTGATTTAATTCTCTAAAAAATATTTGCTAGAGCTGTGTTTCTAGAAGCCAGCTTCCTGGAAAATAATCGTAACATGGTTTTAATAAAACATCGGTTTTCATGGTCTCTAATGACAGACGATGGTGATGCAGCTCCTTTTATCTGCTGCAGCTGGTGTGACAAACCCTTATGTTTCAGTCATTTTTTCCTGAACTATCATTTTCATTGATTTTCGTTGGTGAAGAGTTTTCTGGCATACAACGACATCAG